ACGCAGAATTTCGACTATCTCTTAGTGCTAGATTTTGAAGCCACTTGTTGTGACGACGGAAAAATACTTCCTTATCAGGTACTTCAGTGGAATTAATTCTTGCTAGGCTTTTTCATCCCGTAATCTTTAGGAAATCATAGAGTTCCCGGTTGCGAAGCTTGATGTTCGCTCGTGGACGGTCAATTCGTATTTCCATCAATATGTGAAACCAACTGTCAACCCCGTCATCACATCGTTTTGTACACATCTTACTGGTATCATCCAGGTGAGTTCCTCTACTAGTACTATTTTCAATATTTCCGGCATTTTTTATGTGAGTGGAGCAGTTCATGAACATGTTAGTGACAATATCCATATCCTATTGGGGCCACATGCTGTTTTTTCTCCAGAGCAGGGTCGGTCCTACCGTGGGACTTTTCGGAAATTTTTTACGACCCCCCTCTTCAATCAAAAATTTCACGACCCCCTTCACCTTCCTCGCCATTATGGTCACAATGTAAGGTCCTATTCGTAAATGTTTACTTCATACATGTACAATGTAGTGTACAATATCCAGGTGTGCTGATGGTAAGGGAATTAATTCATAAATCAGAGAAAATCTAGAGGATTCTGTCCTCCTTTTTATAGGAAGTATAGCATACAGCCCCTGATGGTCGTCTTATTGGTGGCTCTGTAGTACTCTTAATTTGAAGTAAAGATATAGCTTTACATTATCTTTCTTTCTGTACACTAGATATTGTCTTCCCTTTGTATGTAAGTCGATTTGAGCCGATAGTATAGATTGCTTGGGATATTTCTTGAGGTATGAAAGCAGGCGGGTTTTACGGAAAGAAACTCGTCGAGATGTGGATCGGTAATGTTATGAAGTCCCATAATATCTCCCATTCTTAGCTGAAGATAGGAATAAAGGGCCACTGTATTGCAATTGGATTGCTTCAGTAGCGCTTTATGAAACACATCATAGCCCATGTATACCTGACGAAGGTTTCTTGGGACGCATCCATAAAATTAGGAAAGGAGGGAATCTAAGTTTGTGTATAATGTCCTTGTAGAAATGCAAGGAAGATTACCTCCCTAGTCTTATAGTAGCTTGTGTTGGTAAGAACAGATCAGTAGGACAGTTGGTAGTGACGTTTCCGTTAAGGATGGAGCGAAATTTGTTTATGTTTTTTGAAGGCCCTCTGATTTGAAGCATTAAAGGAAATGGTCGACGAACAACCAACTATTGACAGGGTTCTGAGCGATTTCGACGACTGGCTGAAGAAGGTTCTTTTTAGTGAATATTTTCTTCAAGAATTCCATATAGCGAATTTTTTTCAACACTTTAATTAGGTTAATTCGGTTATTTTAGGAAGGCATGTGCTGGATGTCGACGCGTGTGCTTTTGATGACATGTGGCGACTGGGGAATTTAGGGCTTAATGGTTGCTTCGGAGTCAGATAATAAGCATGTTATCGCTTCAAGGTAAGGTTAATTGGAAGCGTCTGATGATGAGCGCTTCAAGGCTACGTTATAGCCGGCCTGAATGAGACAATGGAACTGCGTTCTGGGTTTTATGATGCCCCCCCCCTTCCCACTTACTGTTTCTTTTATGGCTATCTAAAATTATATTTTAGTTACTTCGACAAATGGATCAATGTGAAAAAGTCTTATTGTGAGCATAGTGGAACGTTTGCAAAGGCTAACAAGACTATGTCGAGATATACGATTTGCAGCCACGCATGTAGAGTATAAGAGTCAGTGTCAATCCTCCTCAAATTTTTTTCTGTATCTTCATTCATGTTCTTTAGGGGCGACTTCATAGCGGTATAGACGACGTGAAAACTATATGCTCTTTAACGTCAGCTATTGCTCAGGAAGGATATGTTTTCAGGTTCGTTCTAGAAGATATTTGTCCTACCTTTTTTTACTATAACTTTAACTAAATTGCTTTGAAATAATTGACATAGTAGCACTTCCATTCAGTGTGTTTTTGATATTTGCCAACGATTCGCTTTTATATGATTTGATAAGAAAGCCATACTCTTGAAGTATCAAGTTCGGAGCCAAAACTAAATTGGGTCGCGTGAGCGAGCTGTAAACCAAAAAGCAGGGGCTGAACAAGCAGCTTCAAGTGGACTTGTTGGAGGGAGTGTGTGGTATTCTGTAATGTTCATCTTCACCGCTACACTTGCAGCTCCTCACCGTAACGATACTATCGTCGTCTCTCATGCCATTTTTGAAGGGACTCGCGTTTCCTATTTTTTCCTTCCTCATTACTGGTAATCGTGGTGCTATCTCTATAAGTGTAATTCTTGAGTTTACCAGTAGGTTAAAACAGTCTCAGCAGAATCAAGACTGTTTGTTCTGTTAGGATGTTTTTATTGACAAGGGAACATGCCGTGAAGATCTTTCATGCATCCAGGAAGAAGGATCGATCTAGCTAAAATGCTTTGAAGTAATTCTACATCCACAAAAGTATGGGCATGCTCAAAAATGCTATTTTTCCTAAAGTAAGCGCAATATGAAAAAAGTTTGGTAGTAGTTTGAAACGAAGGTGTGACCACAACTGTATTCGAAGGAAACGGCCGAAATGTCACAAGAGAACCCTTAGCTGGTGAAGCGTAGCAGATGGCGCTGATTAAAGGAAGCGATTACGATAAAGAGGGAGCGCATCGGGAAGCATGTGCACCACACGAATCAGTTACTTGGCTGCCAGGGAAGCGAGATGTGGCGCTTTCACGACGAAAGGTGCGCTGGTTGCTGAGCAGGACTTCGAAAGCGCTCCGCCCCAAAAGCGATCCGCCCACTAGTTTACTTGTTGATTTGGACGAGCTGCGAATCGAACGTTGCGGGTGAACTCGTTCATACGTCCACTTTCTTAGCTGTTACCTGTTCATGAGTGAAAACCAACGGCCAAAAAAGGGGTCCCGTTTTGCGTTTTCTTGACGGATTTTTCTGCTTTTTTCGCCACTGGCGTACCATTGAGCACCACCACGTCACACCAAACCCTTCTTGAAATTACCGTAACCGCTACCTTTAATTCATCAGAGCCTCCTTTGAGTTTCCGCGCTGATGGACGACTGAAGGAGTTCTTGTTTTCTAACCTCCCTTCCGAATTGCTTCAATCGAAGGAGTTGAGTACTCCCATGGTTGCAGTAACGAAAATCCCTCAAAGCTCCAATCCAATCTTTTTAGGAAGCATTCACTTTTTCTTAAAAATCCATGCCCAAGGGCATTGTGAGAAGTCAGGATTCAAATTGATTCTCTTCCTTTTTGTTCCGTCGGCATTCGCTAGATCCGGCTCTAGAATTCCATTACCTTTCGATTTGTTTTGTTTGTGCTCTCCAATACCACGGATATGTATAAGTATTTTCATGACACGTAATCGATTTTGAAATTACTTCTGATAAGGACCGGTGTAGTGTGGAAGTACTCCTAAGGTGCTTTCAGATTTCGGCCTGCTGTGGTCCAAGGAAATGGTCCTGAACTAGGGTATGGACATCCTTTCCTAGGCGCAAGGGTGTAGGAGCCAGGGTGGACGATCACATGCCATAAATTGCCTAGGATGAGCAGGATGTGCGTGATGTAGGGCATACACCGGTCCTTATCAAAAGTGCACTTGAAATGAGTCGTTAC